CCCCAAAACCCCAAAACCCCAAAACCCCAAAACCCCTATTTATAGAAGGAAAATTGGAAGAAATAATTAAGAAAATGACAAGTTTTTGGACTGGTACTAGTGACAAAAAGTTACAAACAGCAGAGGAGGAGTTAGTTGAGCTGGCAGGATTGGATCTTGATGAATTTAAGTCTTATCCTGTGCATTTTACTTTCACTGAAGCTGATTGGAATGATAATTATCAAGAACCAGAGTTATTAGAGCAACCTAACCCATGGTTTTGAGGATTGACTACTTCTAAGCCTAAACTCGATGTTGAAGACAACGAATACATCTGGACTTATGAGTTCGGTGATATCTCAAAACCTCATATTGTGATTGTTCATGGATTCGGTGGTGCTGGAATGATCTTCTTCAAAATGTTCAAACAACTCTCCCAACATTTCCATGTGTACTTAATCGACATCCTCGGAATGGGTAGAAGCAACAGAGGCGACTTCGGCTGAGAAACCTACCAGGAATGAGAGAACTACTTTGTGAACTCCATCGAGAAGTGGAGACACAAGATTGGCATTGATAAGATGAACCTGTTTGGCCACTCGTTTGGTGGGTTCATTTGTTCGAAATACGCGTTACGTTACGCAGAGAGGATCAATAAATTGCTGTTATTTTCACCTTGGGCAAGTGAAGCTTGAACTGAAGACCAGCTCAATGGTCTAGATGAACAAATGCAAAAACGCTCTTTTGGGCAAAGAACAAAATATAAGCTGATGAAAGCTGTTTATAAGAAATCCACTCCTTTTGGAATGGCCAGAAAAGCTGGAAGATTATTAGGAGGATATTTAATCAAGAAATTTGCTAGAGGAAGGTTCAATGAAGAGCTTGAAAAAGATGACCTTGATGCCATTACCAAATACTTAGAACAGATTATTCTAAGGAAAGGGAGCAGTGAATATGGATTTGCAAAGATGTTTCCATACTTCAACAGAAGTGAGCATGCTATTTGAAACGACCTAGAAAAATATCAAGAACTTGGTTTAGAAATTTCATTCTATTATGGAGATAATGATTGGATGAATACTAAATTTAATGGGCTCAATGTGTCGCAACAGCTTCAAGATGCTGGTGAAAAAGTTTACATGGTTTCTGGAGCAGGTCATCATATCTATTTTGGTAACCCTGATGAAGCTTTTGATATGATTATTGATGATTTCAGGACAAGCTCCCAAAACTTTGATCTCGACTAATAACATTCTGACATATTCATTCCCTTTAGGACTTATTTCAACCAAATTGTACGTAATTGGGGTTTTGGGGTTTTGGGGTTTTGGGGTTTTGGGG